CCTGCAGGGAACTCTGCAAAAAACGCATCTTCGCACGGGCAGCCCGTGCGTTGGCCATTTATTTTTGCTGTTATTATATCTGCGACCCAAACTGAGAAACAGACAAGACAGAAAGCTGAAACATTGCAGAAGTATTCTCTGTGCGTGTGTGAGCTGAAGATTTCAAACTAAGTCGTAGGTGTTTGTGGCTTTCATGTACGGGCACGCAAAAGTTTTGTCGGGAAACTGAAGTGCTGTTGATTTCTGCTAATGTATCTCTTCCAAATCTGTCAAACTTCAAGGTGTCACATTTGTTTTGGTCTTGGCCCTGCATCACAATTTCCAGCCGAGGATAACACGTCAAACAACTGGCTGTTAGTGGAGGGTCTGCGGCATCGCTGATAACCGCAAAGACAGACAATCGATATCTGCATAAAAGTACAGACCACTTCACCACATCAGTTCAAATGGTCATTTTTGCGCCGTTTTGCAAAGTAGCTATAACGAACTGCAAGTGGCCCATCAAATTTTAATTCGCAAGTTTAGGGGTCAAATTGCGATAGCATTAAGCTTAAGGGTCAATTTGCTACTTCTTGCAATCTGCACAGATTACATGTGATTGTTTCGGGACCTTTCTTTTCAGCTAAACAACATTTTAACTTTCATAGCTCGACATTGCTTCGCCGTCCTCCTTTAGTCCGAATCTTGGTTCAACCCCAAGCAATCGTGATTTTACATGTAAGCTGCTTCCTGGACATGCAAAGCAAAAAACGCGTGAACGGATGGGTGGGAGTGGGCGCGACGGGAAAGGTGGAAGGGGGTGAGGAATTCCTCATCTGTGGACACGTAAAAATTTCGGCGGAAGAACTGGTAAATCGAAAATTAGAAAAAAAGCTGGGAAGATGAAATTTTAAAGGGCTATTTCTTCATTCTTGTACAACTTGGTTTGAAATACAGTCACCAAATATGCATGGTATAAGCGCATGGTCAAGCAAAAATTTTTGCGGGAAAACTGCTCACTGAACAGCTAGATCATTTTCAGTGGGCGACTGTTCAGCGGAAATTTTTAATTTTCCTGTATGCTAAATTTACGAAGGTTTATGCTAACAAATATGTAAGCCAAAAGAAAGCACCAACCACTCATACAGCTGACAAACTGTACACTTCAAATTTAGTGCTAAAACGCATGATAGCACCAGCAAACCCAGTGTTTTCCAGCCTGATTCCTGTTTCCTCTACGTTTAAGGCCACAGTCTTAGATCAGAATTATTACTTAGTCGTTGTCCACGCATGTTCACAGCAAACATACATAAAAGAGTGTGATTACAACGATCACTTGGTACATATCACAGTTTATTTGTAATGAAAAAACACAATGAACTGTTGTCGGATGTAACATTCTTTTGGAGAAAAACGGAACGATTTTGAGCAGTTAACACGTGCCGGTGGAAGTTGGCACAATTTTAGTTGGTGCTCGGCCTATGGTTGGCCTGAGAATCTGGAACGAACAAACAAGGTTCTGGTCAACCGACATCATCGCTGCTGCATTATCGAACTGTCCACAGTAATGCGGTGCCGAAAATATCGTTACACATTTACGAGATCCGAAAAATTCGTATCCATCCTGAACCACCTGATGAGCTCGAGCTACCTGCAAAATATTGTGAATTTTGAGTATATCTTCCAAATCACAGAATACAGATATTATACAGAAGTTGTATAGATAATGCACACAGTTTCATAAATTGTTTTGTTTTTGAAATACGTAGAATCTGAATTCATCGCGCTTCATTTATCTTACATTGTGAAGCTTTGATGTTTTTGGGATGCACCCACGTAACTGAAATAATAGACCAGAAGGACTGCACTCAGGCGTCATGTATAAGGTGATATTTTACGGTGCAAACTGCCTTTCATCGTTTAGATGTAGTAGTATGGTGATATTTTACGATGCAGTCTGTGTTTCGTTCTTTAGCTGTAAACACAGACCGAACTATGCATGCGGGTAGAAGTTGTAGCAGGCCTTAATTGCTTGAACTATAGTTGGCATTGGAAGCAAAATTCAGAACTGGGATTCAAATTGAGGGATTTACCTCCGTCATTGCATACGTGCCTCATCTATGAATAATGTTTGGAAAGAGTCTCGTCTCAAGTGGTGTTTTAAAGCAGTTAAATTTAATGCTCATCGTTGTTTCTCTTAGATTGGCTTAACACGCTTTGGAGTTATATTTAGCGTAATGCGGCTATCTCTCCCACTCTTCCATTTTCTTCGCAAATCAATTTCACAGTTCTTCGATTATGAACCCGTGTTGGCAGTTGAGAAGAGCATACTTTTCAGCCTCATGCCTCTTGAAGCGGCGAACGAAGCCCCTTTTGCATGAGATATGGACATGGAGGAACAGAATCTCTCATTTCCACTATCACCGGATCCTTCAGATCGTGACGTGTTATCCATTACACTACCCGTAAATACCATTTTGTGGCGTTTAGAGCCGCTGCCACAATCAGTCGTAACTGTCAATGTTTGTCAGCTTTTTGCAGGTATCCGTGGAAATCTGAGATGCGGAAATCTTCAAATTTTAGAAGCTTGAATCCGTTTAAAAAACGTAAGAAATCATTGGCTCACCATATCGATGTTAAGTTTTTTACACAGGGTTGCCAGGATATCAGGTCCGAAAGCATATGAAGCACCTCGCATGTTTGCTTGGAAACCAGTTACGTCGGGCGCTGGATCAGCCCAAAGCAAATCCATTTCCAGTGATGGCCCGGTGGCTTCGGTTGGCCGCTTTATCTCTCTTAGCTGCTGAATGCTTTGAAGGTGTGGTGAGATACCACCGTGCATGCACAATATTCGTTCACCGACCAATGCCGATAGTGGCATCCATTGAAATGTTTCCTACAGATTAGAATGGCTTAACTTTTTTTAAAAAAATTCCCTCGTCTTATGTTTGAGAGAAATAGCCTACACTGGAAATGAGCGTCGCCAGCAGGCTGACTACCAGGAAATGCAGCTGTGGTCAAGAATTGGAAAAGTTGCCAACTGCACAGTCCAAATCGACTTCTTTCTAATTACATTAATTTACTTGAATTCGTTAAGTAAATTGAAAGGACTTGAAATTTAG